GAGGGGAGCGGGACAGATTCGAACTCGGCGTGTGGGGACCGGTTTCAATACGCGGGGCGAAGCGGTGCTAAAAGTGAGTGGAATTGGTGGTAGGAAAACCGTCAATCTGTCCGTGTGCTGCTCCAGGCTGGCATTTACTTCAACAACAAATTGAGATGGTGTGTGCGTTTGCTGATAGCGTGGGTGGAAAGGGATAGATCATTTGCTGTGCTGTAGTCAGCTCTGTAGCTAAAATTTGTTTGTTTGTTAAATTAAAACCCAAACCGTAGTGTTTCACACGTTGTTGCTTGGATGGGACTTATCACAGAATCACACAATATTAGGAACTGGAAGGGATCGTGAAAGCTCATCCGGTCCAACCCCCCTGCCAGAGCAGGATCACCCAGACCAGGTCACACAGAACGCGTCCAGGGTTTTGAATGTCTGCAGAGAAGGAGACTCCACAACCCCTTATAGCAATGAGTAAACAAAATTTTGTGCAATCGTTGAGACAACTGATACAATCTAGATGCAAATTTTCAAATTGGAGATACTACAAAACATCGTTTGTATTTCATGTAGGTATCACATTGCTTGATCAGAAGAACATTTTTTGGGTATCCCCTAACTAAAGCAGGTTCTGGTCTGGTCCAGCAGACTAAAGGTAAGAAAAGATTTGCTTGGGCTTCTGCCCTGTTTCAATCTTATACCAAGAGGTGACATTTTCTGCAGGAATTTGGCATCTTCTCTCCTGTACAAATCCTGTTCTTCCTTGTGTTTTTCTCTAGATGTTTGTTTGAGGTTCTGCAGGTCACGAAGTTCTACAGCAGCTGCTGATGCGTCTGGAGAGGACACCTTCCTCAAATGGGGCCTTTTCCTGGTCCCTCTGACCACGTTCTGTCTCGGCACTTGGCAGGTACAAATAAGTATTTACTTTTTTCAAGAGATTAGCACTTGAAGGCTGTCCGGTTGTTCCATCTCTGGCTGTGAAATCTACTTCATATCACATACAGGGTAAAGATTTGCTGTTATTTCACCTTTCTGTTTTCCAAGTGTCCATTTGTAAGTCTTTAAAGGAGAGATTTTTTACACTTGTATTTCAGTATATTTTCTCAAATTTAAGACAGTAGCCTCCATTTCCATATCTCCAATTACCCTGTTTTAGACCAGGTCTGAGGAGAAACTTATGGCAAAGATTTTAAGGCTTGCTGGGCTTACTACATTGCTCTGTTTTACCAGAAGGAATTACTTTTCTGTTTGTGTGCTTTCAGGTTCAGCGACGGAAGTGGAAATTAGATTTGATTGCACAACTGGCATCAAGAATTACATCAGAGCCCATCCCGCTGACATTAGAGTAAGGAGGCTGAGACAGTTTGTGACTGTGCTGGGGACACCAGATATGGTCCCTGCACTAATAAGCTTACACTAAACTAAACTGCATGAAAATGAAGGAACGCAATGGGCACCAGGATGTGCAAGCAAATTAGACAGACAGACATCCTGTTAATCTTCTTATTTTTAGTAAGAGAATAAGGGAGTACTTCCCTATGGGATACTCTAAATGCATGTCAAAAGGATGAATCTTTGGAATGTGGTATGGAGTTCGTACCCTGTGTGATCCTCCCAGAGGAGGACATGGTAGCTGGTGCCTGTGGTGTCCCAAAGGGGTTATTTCTGCAACAGGGAGACGTGGATCAATAGCAGGCCCTGCGCTAAGTGTGGAGCAGTTGTGTCAGATACGAGACAGATTTTTAAGGTCGCTTGGCCATATGGCACAACTGACAAACCAGTCCAGTTGTTCCATTTCAGGGTCTGGGATGGGAAAGAAGCGCTCCCTGTTGGCTGGGTGCTTGTGCAGTGTATCCCCTGCTGCTCAGCTGTGTGATCCCCTGATTTCATTTGCTTATCAGCCATGATTTTGTTTTCATCTCCTCCCATGCAGCCCCATTGAATTGAAGGAACTGGAGTACAGACCTGTAAAGGTTCGAGGGCATTTTGACCACTCCAAGGAGCTCTACATTTTGCCACGGTCACTTGTGGACCCCGAGCGAGAAGCCAGAGAAGCTGGGCGGCTGACATCCCACCCGGAAAATGGTGCAAATGTCATTACTCCTTTCTACTGCACAGAACTGGGGTACGTTAAAGTCATGGTTCATGTGAGCAACTCGCTTCTGTTTTGAAAAGCTGAATCATGGTGGTTGGGTTTATATAAATCACTCCGTCTCCCTTAAAAGGCATCACTGAGTATGTTGGGTCGCTGAGGCTCAACTCAGAATAGTATTTCAATTCCTTTCTAATGTGAACACATTGTGATGACAGCAGAAAAGCGGCACCAAACATACGGGTTGCTTCTTTCTTTGGTACTTCGTTCTAGGCAGCAGCAAGAATGAATTTCCCTTCACTCATGAGCTGTACTTCTTTATGTAACTCTAGGGTCACGATTTTAGTCAACCGAGGATTTGTGCCCAAAAAGAAATTGAAACCGGAGACCAGGCTGAAGGGACAGGTAAGGGGGTACAGGGAACATTGTGCATGTCTTTCTGCCCTGCCATGACCCCAGAGGCGCTGCTGACAAACCAGGAAAGGCAGTGGCCATGTTCGGCACCAGGGAAGTTACTTAAATACAGTGATTGCACTTCTCAAAGAATAGAAACCATTTTCCCCCCCTTTTTTGTTAAGTAAACGTTTCTTTACAAATGAGGAGCTGTTCTTGATCTGCCTTTTTCCCCACACTGCCCCACTGCAGGGCATGACCAGTTGATTTTTAATCAGACCCTGCAAGTGCTGTATTTTTCTACCAGGACCTGGTATGCCAGAATACGAAATGAACCTTGAAAGATTCTTTTCTCCTCTGCACTTCAGATTGAAGATGAAATTGATCTCACAGGGGTGGTGAGGTTATCAGAAACCCGCAAACCTTTTGTGCCTGAAAACAACATTGAGAAAAACCGCTGGCACTACCGGGACCTGGAGGCTATGGCAAAGGTGACCGGCGCTGAGCCCGTATTTATTGATGCAGATTTCAGTAAGTCACAGAGGAACCCAACCCAACCCAACCCTGCAACTTATGTTGGTCTCCCCTGGTTTCTGTTCAGTCAGTTGTTTCCCCTGGGCACTCAGACAGGTATCGCATCTCTCTCTTCTCTTGGTATACTCTGCTACTGCTAGGTTTACCATTTTGAAGGGGATAGGAAGCCAGCACTGGGGAGCAGTAGCATGCTCAGGGCAGGTGCAGGGGGGTGCTCGATGCCTCGAGCACAATCCCTATCACACAAATCCCTACCACTTGCTGTAGGGCTGCCTGCCCCACAGCTCTGGCTTTGCTGGTAACTTGGGAGCTCCACTGCCTGAGGAACAGGGTATCCATGTGACTTGGCACCTTTATATCATTTCTCACAGCAAGAGCAGCTCTACAAGGTACAGACCAAATTTAACTTGTACCCCACGTTGTACCTACAGGAAGCACAGTCCCAGGAGGGCCCATCGGAGGCCAGACAAGAGTGAGCCTGAGAAATGAGCACATGCAGTACATTGTCACCTGGTGAGTCACCCAGCAGCACTGAACTAACCTTCCGTGAGTTTCTTTTGAATGTAACGCTTTGCCTGGTATTCTTGCTCCTGCATCAGCAAGATCTGATGAGCACCTAAGCTACCAAAGACTAAAGCTATAACCTAAGTAACATTTGCCCAGTACTTAAAAAATAACTGGTTTATTGCACCACGGCTGACTTAGGGGAGGTCCAGTCCATCTTGAAAAGGTAGTGTCAATGTGTGGTTTTCTTGTCTTTTGTAGGTATGGCTTATGTGCTGCAACTTCATTCTTGTGGTACAGGAAGTTTATACAAAAGATACGTCTCTGATAAGAGCTGATTTAATCTGTACTGCAGTCAAGAGCAGACTTTTATAGAAGACAACAGTCTGCTCAGTCCTGAGTAACTGAAGTACTCAGAGTATCAAGTTACCATGTTCTGTGAATTTGTACAGCTATGAAGGTGCAAATAAGACTTTAAGCAACTGATGCAGACCCTGAGCTCCTACCAGTGCAATTCTGGCTGCAGCTTGGAAGTCCTGAACTTCAACATTTCAAGAGGCTTTTGAGACTGTGTAAATCAGCTTCACTGGAAATCTCAAGGATACGTTTTTCTACCTGTGGTTGGTTGAAAGCTACAAAGTTTAAACTCTCCACAGCTGTATTTTGTAAGACCACCACGGATTTTGTGAATCAGTTTCTTTACACTTCGTACTCATTCCTGAAGTCAGGAGTGGTTCACAGCAGTTGCACTGGAATAAAGAAGGTCTGTAGGTGCTTGTTTGCCTCATGACTTGCATTGTACATCTCGCATCTTAACAGCGACAGGCCTGAATTCAAGGTTACTGTGAATACTCAAGTCTAATTGTGTGAGGCAGCCACAGCTTTGCAACAGCATGATGAGGGCTAGCAAAAACAAGGAGCTACCTCAGATGGGGCCTTGTCAGGCTTGGTAGCCTCCCACAATGCCACAGGACCAAGCCAGCAGTCAGACTGTCATTGATGTGCAGTGTGTTTAGAGAGGAATTACAGCACGGGACTAGCAGTTAAGGACAGTTGTTCCATGTAAAGTAAAAACCTGCTCTACACAGCTGTTATTGTGCAGCACTCAACCAATCAAATAGCAATGCTCATGTGCTACCCACTGCCTGGAACACCCCCATGAACAGAGACCACTGAAGCTTCACCTTGGGGTTTATTCTTCTTATGTACAGAAAACACGGTAACAATCCAGTACATCTTTAGCCCAGCTTAGTAGCCAGTTCTTTAGCCTTTGCTTTTTCAAGCTTAGCAATGCGAGCCACTGATTTTGGACCCAAGACGTTACCGCCCCAGTGACGACGGATCTGTGAAAAAGTGAGAACAGGTTAGATGCCTCATACAATCTCTCACTACATCATTCAATCAATTTCCTCAAGTCTACTCCTTTATGCACAAGGGGAAGAGCTCCCTCAACTACCAAGTCCTACACATTTCAAGCAGTGAACTACTTTTCAGGGTAGATCAGGCAGGTAACACAAGAGTTTAAAATCTTTCCCCATGAGCAGTGCTGAATTCTGCCACCACTTGTGGGATGGAGCTGAGCCTTGCAGAAGCTGCTGCCCTCTGTACAATCCTAGCCCTGCAATAGCTCCATTTGCTTGGAACTTGGCAAGTGTCACATTTTACCCCACCTTCAGATAAAGAATCTGGATACATCATAAGCAAATCTAGGTACAACACCCCCAACAGGCTTAAAGCTGATATCACTGTCTGAAATAATTTACTTTTCCACTGGGAAGGTTTTGTGAATGTTAACAGCACAAACTGAAAGAGAATCTTACCTCATCATATCTGTCATTGTAGTTGGTCTTGACAGCCTCCACCAGCTTTGCAAGGGCTCCCTTATCCTCTCTGTTGGTAATAAGTTTTAAGTTACTTTAAAGCCTCAAATTAACATTTTCCATTATCTTTTCCCTCAGGATTTAAGAGCTCGTAGCAGCAGTGTGATTTTTCAGGTTCAACATAAGCATCGTTTGGGTTAACCACTCCAATCATCAATGCTTTAGGAACCTGCAGTGTGATTTTTCAGGTTCAACATAAGCATCATTTGGCAAGGGTTAATCACTCCAATCATCAATGCTTTAAGAACCTGCACTGCTCAGGTTAAGGTTAATAGTTCCATCTACATATTTTAGAGTAATCATCCTTTTGGTAAACCGAAGTAACCTGTATCTTCAGGATCCAATAGAGCTCTTCATACAGAAGGACATCTACATTAGACATTACAGAGCTAGTATTTTAGTTTTACTACTTTAAACTAGAGACCCAGGTTTGCCATCCATCTGCGTTATGGTCTGTATTTATGTGGAGTTTGCTTTCTCCACAATAGAGAATCAAGTCAGCACACACAATACTTACGGGTTAACTTGGGTGAAAGCAACAGAGGTACAAGTTTTCCTGTGGACCAGTCGCCCCAATCTGGCTTTGCCCTTGATGATGCAGTATGGCACTCCCATCTTGCGGCACAGGGCAGGCAAGAAGACCACCAGCTGAAAAGAGAGCGAGTGGGCTGTGTCACTGCAGAATAGTATCATCTTATTCTTTGGATCTGCCTGGGCTGTGGCAATTGCTCAGTGTTAAAAAGCTCGTTTTGCTCTTCACTGTTGATTCAGGTGAAGAAATTCATACATCATTGCAAGGGCCAAGCCTCATTGTAATACCAGGACAACTGAACTGGCATAAGTATTCCAGTTCTGGTAAAGTCTTTTTATGCATTCTCTTTGCAAGCAATAAATTTGTCCTAAAAAGCATTTTCACCCCAAACCCAGTTCTGACCTCAGCTTAAATTACATGGGTAGCCTGTAACATGTACAGCGAGTACGCTTACCTCAATGGGGTCCACATCGTGGGCGATCACTACAAGCTGGGCTTTCTTGTTCTCTACCAGAGTTGTGACACTGTTAATACCTGAAAAACAAGTTATAGGTAAGCTTTGATTCTGCTCACTATTTGCAGAGCTTTCATACAAGCCTCATACAACCAGCTCAGATCCCATAGTGTAGCTTCATTATGAAAGCTGTGAAAACTTTTCATTCCTGTTGAGTAGCACAGAGAAGATAATGCATGGACAATTTGCTAAAGCTCAGGGTTAAAAAGCTCGTCTATTTTGCTCTTCACTTTGAGCTCAGGTGAAGAAATTCAATACATCATCGCAATAGCTTGTCCAGTCCTGTCTGGCTGATGCACAGCACCAACTTATCCATCTTTTCTGTAGCAAAGCACCGTGCTCCTGTATCTGCAAGCAGCCAAGTCCACATACAAAGTTACCTGCTCGGAGGACCGGTGGCCGCTTAGTCGGAGCATCGCCCTTTCCTGCAGCTTTCTGCTCAGCTCGAGCCAGGAGCCTCTGCTTCTTCTCTTGCTTGTTTTCTGGCCTGTACTTGTGTGCCAGCTTCAGAAGCTGTGTAGCTGGAATAAAACATCTACCAGTTAGTTAGCTGCATGACCTGGAAAATTAAGCATTGCTTTTAAAAAACACTGAAGTGCATCAGCGATCTTGGTGGTTGTCATCAAGTGTATTTAGACAGCAAAGTCAACATCATGTGCACCACCTCAAGAGCAGAGCTAGCGGAGTGCCTCAAGAGCTTGCATTTACCTCTGCTGGCATTGAAAGCTCCTTCACTGCGCGAATGAGGAAATGCCTGTGGACCTCCACATTAATGATGGTTAAAGGTGCACTTTCTCTTTTACAGCAAACAGCTTGTTTGGCAACATAACAGAGGGAGTTACTCTACATAGGGGGGGAAGTTTCTTGCATAGATGTCACCTAGAAAAAACTATTCACTCATTCACAGACCCTGAAGTCCCTTCTTTCTCCGTTTCACTGTCAGCCCACAGGATGCTGGCTTTCCCCTCAAAGCCTGCACTCATAGGTTTCTCAAACTATGGGTTTATACAGTTAAAAAAACCCTGCATGTTCTACATCAAACTGGAAGAATGGACTCTAATGGAAGCACACAATTAAGATAACTCTGGGTCTGGGTCATTAAGTAGGAGCTTTGGTATTTTCTAGTCCCTTTTCAAAGCACGTAACAGCTATCAAGACTTAAGCCAGCAAATTCAGACAGCAGCTTGCTGTTAATATCAACTCAATCATTATTAAAACCTCCCATTAAATCTTATTTTGGTCTCTTTCCTCCTCTCTGAGGCGTATCCCGTTAACAACTCCAGTCACAAGAACTTTGTGAGGTGCATTCTTACCTGTCTGGCGGTCCAGAGCCTGAGTGAACTGGTTAATGGCAGGAGGCACCTTCAAGCGCTTGTAGAGGATGGATCTCTGGCGCTGCAGCCTGATGTAGCGTGGCCATTTCACAAAACGGGTGAGATCACGCTTCGGCTGGATATCCTGTCCTAAAAATACAGACTTTAGCTCAAAGCTGTTCCAAACCCACACAGCAACCGCACGGACCAGGCAGGAGTGCATCAGTGATCTTGGTGGTGTTCTGTCAGCACTACCACTCAGATAGCAAATATTCTTTCACATCATCTGCACATCTTACAAAGGCACTTCAGGAGCCTGAATTGATTTACCACACCACGTGCGAAAGAACAAGATTTCTCCAACAGAATCACATAATACGGGAAATTCAGAAAGTTGTCCACAATCATCTTCATACACCTAATGAAGGATGGCTTTTAATCGCACGCAGCAACTGCCTCCATCACCATCTCCACTGTACAGCTTTATTACAGTGCACTTCTGTTGATGATTTAGACATCTACCTGCAAACAACAAAATCTTGAGTAGCCCAAATACCCACTTACTCACCAATGCCAAAGTTCTTGGGCCTCTTCTCAAAGAGGGGGTTGACAACTTTCTTGGCCTCCTGCTTCTTGACTACAGCAGGGGCCGGTGCCACCTTCTTGCCCTTGGCCTTCTTTCCTTTCGGCTGCAAATAAGAAACACACCCATCTTTCTTTTGCCTTACATTTGTGTACTTAAAAGAGCTCCCAGTCCACCTCGAAAATGCATTTTCCCAGGCCTTTTTCCAGCCTGGCAGCCAACCCCCCTGCCTGGCCTTGCTCTTTCGGAGAGAGCAAACCCTTCACTTCGTATTTAAAAGATTGATGGCTCAGACAGGAACACCGTTTAAAACCGCGCACTGATCCCCTCGGCCGAGCACCAAACGCCCGAGGAGCAGCAGTTGCTCCCCGTCCACCTCGAAAATGCATTTTCCCAGGCCTTTTTCCAGCCTGGCAGCCAACCCCCCTGCCTGGCCTTGCTCTTTCGGAGAGAGCAAACCCTTCACTTCGTATTTAAAAGATTGATGGCTCAGACAGGAACACCGTTTAAAACCGCGCACTGATCCCCTCGGCCGAGCACCAAACGCCCGAGGAGCAGCAGTTGCTCCCCGACACCGCGAGCAGCCGAGACACCGCC